CCTTTCTATAACCTCAAAAATACCTATTCATACTTAAATAAATATTTAATAATCATAGGTTTATCCCTACGTCTCAGATTCCACATAAATTCAACCATATAGATCTAGATTTTAACTCAAAAATTCTTAAACATGAGTTTCAACCTTAAAAAAATATTCTATAATATTTTTTATATCCCTAAGAATTTTAACCTATATTTTTAATCCATCATATCATCAGATTAACTATCCTATAGAAAAATCCTAATCAAAATATTTACTCTATCCTACAAAATAATCATATCACTAGAAAGCTAATATTATTTAGAAAATAACTATAAAATTAATTTTGTAATTAAATAAATTTTTAAATGCTAATCTAAACAGGAAAGTTAGAACATACCTGAAGAAAAAGAAAATAATCCCCCTTGTAAGAAAACGCCGAGCAACGTGAGAGGAAGAGAGAAAAATAATATAAAAATGGGATTGTGAGTCCCAAAATTATATTAAAAAAAAACTATAGGTTTGAATTTAATTATTCAAACCTTTAGGCCAAAAGTTGCAATTTTCTCTAAATTGCATCTTAGCCTCTCATGCTTCCTAATGCACACACCCCCTCCTTTTTATACATGAAGGCACCTCTTCTCTTCCCTCATCTAACCAATGTGGGACTTAGAAACAACAACCTTCCACCCCCTTTTTTTTTGTTCCTTCTACCTTCTCTTTTTTTTTAACACATACATAAAAAAAAATTATTTATGTATTATATCTTAACTAAATATTGCTTATGTGGTTTTAAATTTAAATTTTTAAATTCATAATTAAATACCTAACCATAATATTATTTCTAAATAACCTCAAATAATATAAATTCCTATTATTATCATTTTTTTTCTCAAAACTTAAATTCCACAATTTCTTTATTATATAAAAAATCAGGATGTTACATCTTTTCAAGTCCTTGCTATCTTTGTTACACAGGTCCCATCAGGCGTGCCAAAAATTATTCGTGGTTGAACAATAAATACCAGGCATGCAAGAGACGCTGAGTCTCAATAGATAATTAAAAAGGTCTCGAGTTCCCTTACCATAGTTCGCTCGAATGTAAAAAGATAGAAGGCGTTGGTAGAACAAGTGTATAATTTTATTGAAGTGCACAAGATTACAGACTAAAAACTAAGAACTGAAAAGGGCTAATGAATGTAAAATGTGCGAGTTTTGATTAAGTGTTGACTAGCTTTTTCTGTTTTTCTTCTTTCTATTTATAGCGTCGAATAGCAAAAGCCTTTCCTTTGAGATTTAGCACGTTCTATCGAAGAATTAGGAATCCCGCAAAACTTATGGCACGGTCTCTTCATTTTGATAATCAGCCCGTTTCACCGAACTACTTGAGCATAGATTTCGGCATTACTTAGAATCGTGTTTTCGTGCCAACGGTCTGATATTTGAAGCTGACGGAATTTCGACATGTTTACTTGTTGTGGACTTTATTGAGCTTTGGGGCTGTCTTCTTTTGTTTGTATTAGGCCTGATGCTTCGATTACTCAGCCCAACTAGTCTCGTGATCTATTTGAGTGACGTTTCATATTCAGTCCAAGCAGTAACAATAGTATCTTATTACCAAAAACTGAGAGAGGAAAAGAAAAACTATATCTCTAGTCTTAAAGCAAACTACATTGTATTGTCCAAAAAGAAAGTAACAATATCTTTTTACAAATTTTTTATTACATAAAAACAATTAATTAACAAATAAATAATACATATCATGTGTATATAAAATTGTAAGAAATGGCATTATATTTGTTCATTAGTAATTAAAAATACACCTTATATCGAGTTTTATTGATGCTTTCATGATTAGATTAGACATTAAATCAATCAACATATATTAAATTAAAGTTCAATAGTCGAATTGTGGTAGGATAGGTTTTAATTGAATTAATATAATTTAAAAAATATATATGAAAAATAAAAATATCTTAAACAATGTTTATCTATTTCTTTATACATCATATATGCTAAATTTACAGTCAATCACTTTAATATCATGATAAAAGTATTTATGTTGATCATAAATCACCAAAACATTAAATATGCCAGATTAAATGTCCACCAAGTTGGTGCAGGTTCTCATGATTAGCCGTAAAAATCAATGAATCATTAAATTTTCGTTTGGATGGAGAAGAAAATATAGGAGAGAAATTAAACTTCCAAAAAGAAAAATTTTTCCCCTCAATTTTCTCTTCTCCCTATTTTCTTCCCATCTTTTTCCTTCATCCAAACTAAACATTAAATGTATATAATACTAAAGAAGAACTAACCAAAAGAGAAACAAAAGCACAAAAATAATGTAGTTTTTTAAGTTATTGATATTTGATAATTTTTTTTAAAAAAATAAGAAAAACTGATTCAAGACCAATTCTGATTGTTTTTCAATGGTATTGGCCAATTCTCGATCAATTTACATTTTGACCAATTTTGGGGCTTTTCCAATTCAACATATGGCCAATTCTTAACCCAAAATGATGGAACTGACCAATCCAATCCAATTATGATTGAGTTCTTCTTTTTCTTCTTTTTTGATCAATTTGAGTTTTATAATTTACACAATACAATAAACTTGGTCAAATCCAAACATAGTTAAATTTAATGTAGAATAGCTCTTCCAAATATATTTTATGTACTTACACAAACTCAAACTCTAAAAGCTTATATTTAATCATGATATAACCCTTTTAGTAGATCCACACCAGTTGGTTTTTTTCCTATTATTTTTCTTGTATTTAAACTAAATTAGCACCATTATATGAATATGAGCTTTTTTTTTGGGGCCAAGTTGAATACAAGCTTAATGCTTTCCTTGGCTTGCTGAGAAAAATAGGAATGAGAAAAAATGAGAGGAGAGAAAATGAAAAAATATAATTTTCTCTTATTATACTTAGCGAAAGAAAATAGGAAGAAAAGAAAAGTTGTTAATTTTATATAAACAATGAATAACATTATTTTTTATAAAAATATTTATATTTTTTAATATATTATATATTATTATTTAATATATAATAATTTTTTATCATATGTTGTTGACTAAAAAAATAATTTTAATTATATTATTCAATACTGACAAAAAATATTTTATTCAATTTAAAATTTTATTTATTAAATTATTAAATATATAATAATATTAAAATTTGAAAATACCACCAAGGTATTCAACTGAAAATTAACTTGAAAATTTAGAGTTAACATTTACTTAATTAGTTTAAAAATTAAATATATTGTTTGTTTAACAAAAGTTCCTGATCAAAATATAATTATACTACAAATATTATGATAAAAATAGAGGGAAGCAAGAGAAAATAATAAAAAAATTGAAGAATAAATTTAAAAATAATTTTTTTTTCAAAATCTCTTCATATTTAAAAAAAATTGAAAATAAAAATATGTGTGTTTTACATATTATTTTTTCTTTGTTGTCCGCAGTCAAGTAAGGAAAAAATTTGTTTCCTTCTCACTTTTTTCTTTCACTTTTCTCTCCTATCAAGGGCATAGGATAAAGGTTCAAACATAAATACTAATTCATCGTTTCAATTTTTATTTTATTTTTTGATCTAATAAATAATAATTATTTATCACTTTGGATTTTGTTATGTGTGATTTTATGAGGTAGCCCCACCACGTGGACAACATGATTGCTTTGCAGGTTGGCAAGCAACTTATCTCTTTACCTTATTCCAGCTAGCAGTAGCACAACAAAAACTAAACATTTAAAAATAAATAAATGGACTTATAATTACCAAATTATTATAAAGAATAATTCCGTCAAGAACTAGAAAAATTTCTATTTTAAAAATCCATTACATGCCCATAAAAATACCACTAATTTTTTTTATCCAGGTAATGACAAGATTCTGCATTTTGGAAAATGAATGATGGAAAGTCCTTTTCATCATATGCATGACAATAAAAATAGAAATGTATTCCTCTACCAAAAAAAAGACATGTAATCAATGTTAAAGTAAATCATTAAAAATCTAAAAAAAATGAAAAATCCAACAAAAAATTGTTTTAAATCCTGTAAGAAAATATCTACTATAATTATAATAATACTTTTTAACCCACTAATGCTCAAATTGACACAGTCACACCGGATATTAGATATTGTATAAAAATTTGTAAAAATATAATCATTTGATCTTATAATTTTATTGATTTTTTTAATTTATATAATTGTTTTTGTGTTTTTAGTTTTTTTTTAGGGAATGAAATCACTAAAAGCATTAAAATTGTAAAGACCTAAAAAATAAATATAATCTAATCTTATGGTAATTATAGAGATTGAAAAATATTAAAAAATGTATGAACTAAAAGCAAAACTTAATGATTGTATTTTTTGTAAAAATATCAATTAATTATAAGTAATTAATATTATTACTTATTTTTTTGACCAGTAATTAATATTATTACTTATGTTTACATAAAATTAAACAAGTTTTAATGAGAATAACTTATATAAATAAAATTTATTAATAATTTTTTGATCATTATGCATAGTAATTACTGATATAGTACCGAACATTATTTAAATAAAATATTAAGTGAGAGAAGAAAAAAATAAAGGAATAATATATATATATATATATATTCTGGTGAGCAAGGAATAATATATATTATCGCCGAAAAAGAAAAAGCGTGGTTAGTTGCATTCCAATTCATAATATTCCAAACCCAACCGTACCCACTTCTTGTTTCTTTTTTCTCCCTCTTTGAATTTCCTTCACCGTCTTCAATTTCTCTCCGAGAATCTCGCTTTTCCCCTTCAACACACTCTCGATTTTATTAATAAATAAAAATAAATATTAATATAAATTTCCAATTTTTTCAGGAATTAAAAATCAATTGATAACTAAGTAATTAATTAATATTAATATTATTTTATTTTATTTGAAAAAGCCCGTGAACGTGACGACGTGTCGATGCTCCTTAAGTCTTCTTTGACGATGGTTTATGAGACTGTTTTTACCTTCAGACGACAAACACAGCGAAAGCAAAAGGAGAAGAGGAGAGAGAGTGGGAGAGGGGGAAGGAGGGAGATAACGTGACAATGGCCGGCGGAGCTACCAGCGCCGTCGCCGAAGACAGAACTCCGGAGCTTATTAGTCTAGTTTATGACATTGTTGGAATGTGCGGTGGAGTTGGGGGATCCTCTTCCGCTCCTGCCATTGACGCCGATGCTGTTTTCAAGAAGGACTGCACCGATCTGGTTCGTCGGATCTCCTTACTCACGTATTTGTTTGAGGAGATTAGGGACTCGAAGAACACCGTCACTGATTCCGGAAACTTGGATGCTTCCACTTCGTCCACTGGCTCTGCATCTTCCTGGTCCTCCGATCTGGTGCTCGCTCTCCACTCAGCTAAGCGCCTTATTTCAGTCGCTAGGAACTTCCATTCTAATTCATCTTCTGTGAGTTGTTTGATCTGCCTTATTTTTCCAATTTTGGTGCCTTTATTGTTTATAGCCCTTCCTTTCTTAGGTTTCCTTTTCTGTTTGGTAGTTGTGATTATCGAGAGAACAAACTAGAAAAATTCATCGAAGCTGACGATGTACTTGGTGCCTCCTTTTGTCTCCTGAGTTGAAAATGCTTTAATGTGGAAGTAAAATCTGACATTTCGATTTTTTTTTTTTTGGTTTCTGAATAATTTAAATTTGTTGTTAAGTTAGTATGACATTGCAAAATTCTTTATCATTTTCCCCTCGTCATAATTCTGCTGCCGAAATATACCGTCTTCTATTTCCTTTTATGAAAGAATGTCAGATGCAGCAACTTATTTAGCCATGCTTGTTACAGCAAGGAAGAAGTCTTGCATGATGAGACTCACTGTATAACGTGAGAAATCAGATCAAATATTTGTTTTAGTTATCTTTAGACAAAGGAAGCTAGAATGTCCCTTATGGACTACCCACGGTCTGATCAGATTCTATGTTTGATTTCATTGACGAGTTTCGTTCTTCTGTTTCGCTTTTTGGTATATTGTTCTATTTGACTCTATAGAAAACTCGACTTCATTGGGATTTATTCTACATAAAAATGATTTTGCACTTCTCCAATCATTAAGTTTTGAATCTTACGACTGCCGAATTTCTGTGGGCATGTATCTATAAAAAGATGTCTGGGTACATCTCTGAAATTTGCTCTATCTTGATTTAAGGATGGAGCTGCCAAGACAATTGTATTCCAATTTCAGTGTGTGACATGGAAATTGGAAAAGCTATTAAGCATCCTACCATATGATCATCTAGAAATATCAGAGGAAGTCAGAGAACAGGTAACACTTAGATATATTAGGGATTCTATCACTATCATTCTTGATTTTTCTTGGCTTAATAATTTGGGTAACTTATCCATCTCTAGGTGGAGTTGGTGAGAACACAATTGAGACGAGCCACTGAAAAATATGAATATATGATTTCAAAGCTGTCATCTTATGATTTATCCCGGCCAATGGCTCTGGAAATTAGCCAAAAGCTGGGTAGATCTGTGAGTGGATTGCATAAACAGCATAGCTGTCCTGATAATTTATCAGATCTAGAGAGCATTCCTAGAAGCAATGGATGGAAAAATTGCGGTACAAATCAGACTGGTCCTCACTTGGAAAGGGCACAGAGCATCCCTGCATCTTCTAAGGTTTCGTTATCAAATCTCATTGATCCTGAAGGTCAAGAAAATTCTGTGGAAAAGAATCTGACTGAAGTAAAAAAGCCTGAAACAATTCGAATTCCTGAAGATTTTCTTTGCCCTATATCATTGGAACTAATGAGGGATCCTGTTATTGTGGCTACAGGTCAGGTATGGTTCAATTCAGTTTTAATATATAAAGCTCTTTCTGAGAATTCAATGCAAAAGTTCTTCCTTAGTTAAAGAATCCAAAACAAAGGCCTTTGTTTAATAGTGTTTTTCTGACCCGTTTTTTGGCAGACATATGAGAGATCTTACATCCAGAGATGGATAGATGGGGGAAATACAACGTGTCCAAAAACTCAGCAGAAGCTCCAACACCTGACACTTACACCAAACTATGTGTTAAGGAGCCTTATAACTCAGTGGTGTATGGAGCATAATATTGAGCAGCCAACAGGACTTACAAATGGGAAGATAAAAAAGAGTGATGGATCTTTCAGAGATGTTACGGGTGACATGGCAGCCATTGGAGCTCTTGTCCAGAAGCTCTCTTGCCAGAACATTGAGGAGTGTAGAGCAGCTGTTGCTGAAATTCGATCACTTTCCAAACGAAGTACAGATAACAGGATACTAATTGCTGAAGCAGGAGCCATTCCAGTTCTAGTTAACCTTCTAACGTCGGAAGATGTGTTGACTCAAGAGAATGCCGTTACTTCCATTCTCAATCTCTCCATCTATGAGAACAACAAAGGACTTATAATGCTCGCTGGTGCCATTCCATCCATTGTCCAAATCCTGAGAGCTGGAAGCATGGAAGCAAGAGAAAACGCTGCGGCAACCCTCTTTAGCTTGTCACTTGCAGATGAGAACAAGATAATTATTGGTGCCTCAGGAGCTATCCTTGCTTTGGTAGAATTGCTCCAGAATGGGAGCCCTAGAGGGAAGAAGGATGCTGCAACAGCGTTATTCAACTTATGCATATATCAAGGAAACAAGGGCAGGGCCATAAGAGCAGGGATCATTACAGCATTGTTGAAGATGCTTACAGATTCAAGCAAATCGATGGTCGATGAAGCCTTGACAATAATGTCAGTTCTTGCCAGCCACCAAGAAGCAAAGGTTGCTATTGTAAAGGCCAGCACTATACCTGTTCTGATTGATCTTTTGAGGACAGGATTGCCTCGAAACAAAGAGAACGCGGCTGCCATTTTACTTGCCTTGTGTAAGAGGGATCCTGAAAATCTGGCTTGTATAAGCAGACTTGGTGCTGTTATACCTTTGACAGAACTTGCTCGGAGCGGCACAGAGAGGGCTAAAAGGAAGGCTACTTCACTATTGGAGCATCTGAGAAAGTTACAACATATTTGAGTGTTGGTGAAGTTGTGCAAAGAAATTATAATGAGGTTATATTTTCTTTCCAACCATTTGGCATATTTTTCCGCAGTTTCTTTCTTGGATTTCCGAACCGAGCATGTGAGGGTAAGATAAGAAGGCCTCATTGTTCAGTGTATTCTTTTCATGTTGTCTTTTCATTAACCTTTTTTCATAAGCGTGTAAACTGTAAAGAAATCAATTGATATATTGTTTCCTCATTAAATTCTTATTCGACTTGTGTCTTCCAGTTCTATCTTCTTAGATCTTCAAAACCACGTTTGATGAGTTTCTAGTCCTAGACGTCTAGCAGAAAATAGTATAGTGTAGAGTTTCAGCCCCATTATTGTAAATATTATTGTATGTCAATGTAACCAAAAAAGAGAGAGAGAAAAAGAAATTTATCGAAGTTGTAATTAGGGAATCCATAACACAATTAAGCTTCGAGCATCTCGATGGCGGTTATGCTCCTAATCATGAACTCAATTTTAGATGTCATTTTATATAATATTTTGCTGACTGTAGGTTATTCACAAAATCATTAGCTTTATCAAAACAGTATTATTTAATATGATTTAAACAGAAGCCTTTAAAGATATGAATAAGAATGGCTGTATCATCTTCGTGTACAAAGAAATCAAGATGGTGCATCTAAAGAATGATAGACGACGACGACAATAACAACAAGCCTTTATCCCACTAAGTGGGATCGGCTACATGGATTGTAAGACGCCATTGTGCTCTATCATTTATCAAGCTTTTAGGAATATTATTAATTAAGAGATTGTGTTCAACAACTTCCAAGAGTATTTTCTTAAACCTTCCTCTACCCCTCTTAATCGGACTCAAAGTTATATGTTTCACTCTTCTCACTGGTACCTCCCTTGGTCTTCTTTGTACATGCTCAAACCATCTCAATCGATTTTCTATCATTTTTTTCTCAATAGGTGCTACCCTCACTTTTTCGCGTACATGCTCATTTCGAATTTTATCTTTACGTGTATATCCGCACATCCATCGTAACATTCTCATCTCTGTTACTCCAACTTTATGCTCTTGCTGTCCCGTTAGAGCCCAACATTCACTATTATATAACATTGCCGGTCTGATAGCAGTGCGATAAAATTTTCCTTTAAGTTTGTTAGGCACCTTACGGTCGCAAATAACTCCTTTAGCTTTTCTCCAATTAAACCACCCAGCTTGAATCCTATGTGAACTATCTCCACTGATTTTGCCATCATTTTGAATAATGGCTTCCAAATATCTAAACTTTTTCACTTGATGTATAATTTGATCTCCCAATTTCACTTCCAAATTATTGTCGAATAGTCTCTTACCAAATTTATAATATAAATATTCCGTTTTACTCCTATTCAGATGGAAACCTTTCGACTCCAATGTCCTCCTCCATAACTCAAGTTTGCAATTAACCTCTTCTCTTGTCTTTGCTATAAGAACTATATCATCCGTGAAAAACATACATTTGAAAATTTCCCCTTAAATATGTTCCGTCAAAACATTTAGGATTAAGTTGAACAGATAAGGACTCAGAGATAATCCCTGATGTAATCCAATCTTTATAGAAAAATCCTTTATTTGACCACTAGGCGTTATTATACTAGTTTTTACCCCCTCATACATATCTTATATGGTTTTAATATAAGCAATCCGTACTCCCTTTTTTTTCCAACGCTTTTCAAAGCACTTCTCTTGGTATACGATCATAAGCTTTTTCCAAATCAATAAAAACCATGTGTAAATCTTTATCTTTACAACGATACTTTTTCATTAATCTCCTTAGTAGATAAATCGCCTCTGTAGTTGATCTACCTGGTATAAAACCAAACTAATTCTTAGAAATACTTGTCTCCAATCTCAACCTGTGCTTAATTACTTTCTCCCACAATTTCATTGTGTGGCTCATGAGTTTAATCCCTCTATAGTTAGTACAATTCTGAATATCTCTTTTATTTTTATAAATAAGAATTAATGTACTTCTCCTCTACTTATCAGGCATTTTCTTGGACCGTAAGATCACATTAAATAACTTAGTTAACCATCTCACCCCTTCTTCACCTAAACATTTCCACGCTTCGATAGATATACAATCAGGTTCATTGGCTCTACCATTTGTCATTTTCTTAAGAGCTTCCTTTACCTCCTTATCACGTATTATTCGATAGAATGACAAATTTTGTTCTCCTTCACCAATTACTAAATCCTTCAAGTTACTAGATGAACCCTCTTCATCATTGAAAAGTTTGAAAAAGTAAGTCTCCCATCTATTTTTAATTTCATCATCTGTAACTAAAATTCTTCCCTCTTCATCCTTAATACACCTTACCTGTTTTAGATCTCTTGATTTTCTTTCCCTACTCTTGGCAATCTTATAAATGTTTCGTTCTCCTTCCTTTGTCTCAAGGCTCTTATAAAATTCTTCAAAAGCTTTAGAACGAGCTTCGCCCACAGCTTTCTTAGTTTCCTTCTTAGCCATACGGTACCTCTCTCAATTTTTCTCATTATTACACAAATGTATGGCTTTAAAATAGTTCTTCTTATACTTGATTTTGTCCTGTACACTATTATTCCGCCACTAAGACTTCTTATCTCTCGGACCAGAACCTTTTGATTCTCCCGAAACTACTTTTGCAACCTCCCGTATCTTTTTAACCATATCCTTCCACATGATGTTAGCACTTTCCTGAGATTCCCAAATTCTTTTGTCTAAAAGATTTCGCTTGAAAATATCTTGCTTCTCACCTCTTAATTGTCACTACCTAATCCTTGATGCTACTACTTGTCGATGTTTTTGGATTTTACTCATAATACACACATCAAGGACTAGGACCCTATGTTGTGTCGTTATAACATCTCCGGGGATCACCTTGCAATTTTTACAAAGTCTTCTATTTGTGTTCCTAACCAAAAGAAAATCAATCTGTGACTTTGAAGCTCCACTTTTATAAGTGATGAGATGCTCATCTCTCTTCTTGAAACAAGTGTTGGCAATCTTAAAATCATACGCCAATGAGAAATCAAGAAGAGTTTGGCCTTCATTGTTTAGCTCTCCAAAACCAAAACCACCATGCACTCTCGTATACTGACCAGCCTCCCTCCCAACATGCCCATTAAAGTCTCCTCCAATAAAAATCTTTTCACTCTGTGGTATGTGTCGAATCAACCCCTCCAGATCCTTCCAAAATAATTCCTTAAGATTAGCTTCTGTCCCGACTTGCGGCGCATAAGCGCTAACAATATTAACAGTTTCACGTCCAATTATCATTTTTAAGGAAATAATTCTGTCTTCAATTCTGCTAACTTCTACAACATTCTTCTTCCACTCCTTATCCAAAGAATGCCTAAAGAATGATAGAGAAGCAAAAAAAAAAAAAACAAAAAGCAAAAAAAGCAAAAAAAGAAAAAAAAAACAAAAACAAAGAAAGAAAAGATAATGGGTATCACATATATTTAGAGATGTGGATGCTATATGTATAACTAGTGTTTGTTCATCTCGCAGGAGATTTTAGTATAAGGTCTTAAATTTAAGTCTTGGGAGAGTTTTGTCAACTATTGTAATATTCTCAATCTTGATCTAGATTAGTCCAGATTTCCATTAAGTCTCCTCATTGAAGTAGTTCACCTAAAAAAGCAAAATTCTATATTCTTGTGGGTGGATTTAAAATTTTAAGAGTTAGCCTGAGGATAATTAGGGGGCAAATTGCCTTTAATGTTAAATGATTAGGGATAATTGGGACAATTGGAATTGTTTTTTTTTTTTTTAAATAGCAGAGACAGTTGGTATTCTGTTTGTACTTTGGACACAGCTATATGTATACTATTGTATTCCAATTATGCTTTGATGAAATTATAAGATTCTTTCTATTATTGCCATTTTCTTGTCTCTTTTTACCCCACTTATTATTTTGCATCTTTTTTTACTTCTTGCATGAGAAAGTCTAAGCGCAGAACCACCTAACTATTATGACATTGTTTTAATTACAAGTTAAATTGGATATCAATGAATTTTACAAATTTTACCCTGGTCTGATCTATTAATTACCTTTTTATTTTATTTTTTAAATAATTAGTCAATTTTATTCAAAGTTGTGAATTATTTGAAGAGGAAGATAATAAAGGTAGACGATCCAAAGAACGATTTCCTTATCCTTTTATTAGAGACGATTATGTGAATCTTAGTTTACTATATTGTGAGGGTTAGCTTCTTTCACTCAACATAAATGCGAGTTTTGTGAATGGACGTTTATGTGGGGTGACAAAAACTATTTCTATGCTCAAGGGTATGCTAGGTGAAAATAAAATAAAATTGAAGCTGAACGAAATTGAGCAAGGTGAGTGGACTATTTTAAAACTTGATTGTTTTTTCAAGTTGGACTGGATAGGAGACTGTACATCTAGACTACTTGGTCTAGTCTTGTCCTATTAAATTTATTTGATATGATTTTAATTAATTTATTAATTATTTATAATAATAAGTTAAGACTATCAATAATTTACTAAGTCTGGTTCTTGACATGGTTGCACACTCAGACTAATGATTTAATAATCTGGACCACTTGGATTGTAATTAAAATATTTTTTTCTTGTTGTTGGAAATCATTATGGATTTATTATGATTATAAGTATTTTTATTATCTTAATTTAGTTTATTAGGTTAAAATGGATTATTACCTCTCATAAAGGGAAAAAAAAGCTACGTGAGTATTAGACTAACAAGACCAGTCTTCTAGTTCTATAAAACAAAGTTTAGTTCTGTTAATCTTCGGATTATTACTAGATTAGAACGGACTATGGGTTGTATAATTCAATCTTTTTCATAAAAGAGATCATACTTTAAATTAGGCTGAAAGCCAGTCTCGTCTAGACCTTTGTGTAACCCTACTAGTAGGCTTGGGTTTGATAATGTTACTATTACCTAGGAATTAATTCACAATCAATCCATGAGAAATATGAGAGGAAAGAAAAGCTTTATGGAAATTAAGATTAATTTGGAGAAAGCTTACCCTATGACTTTGTTCTTGGCTGTTTACTTGAATTGAATTTTCCTCAAAACATTGGGTATATTCTTAGGCATTGTTTATTTACTTTTAAATAAGAAAATTAATCATTTGATCTATGTAGTTTTGACCTTATTGTCAGTCATCAAACTTTTACTTGTTGTAATTCGGTTCTTATATTTTTAACTCAATTGCAACTTAATTCCTAAACTTTGCCTTTTATAATTTAATCCTCATAGTT